CCTTCCCTTCCCTTCCCTTCCCTTCCCTTCCCTTCCCTTCCCTTCCCATCCTCCCGAGCCATATGGAAGGAGAGGGAAATCACACAAAGCAGCACAAGGCAGATTGCACAGAGCTGAGCTCTGATCCCTGCTCTGAGCCTGCCCTCGGCTGCTCTGGGAGCCCATCCCTGGAAGGGCTGGAGCTGCAGCCCGGGATTCACCCTGCAGGGACCAGACAGGAGCCGCTCTCATGAGCTGTGCATCCTCTTCCCCTTGGATTTGCAGTGCTCTCTGCTGCTGTCACCTTCAGCAAGATGAATGTCCGAGTGCCAGGCATCCCTTTTGATGTCCTAAAGAGGTTTTCTCTTTATTCAAGGGGCACAGCTCCAGTGGAACAGGAGTATCCTGCACCACTGCACAGAGGGGCTGTGGGAGGCAGCATCCCCGTGTGGGGCCTGCCAGGGCTGGCAGTTCCTGGGAGGTTTGTCCCTCCTGGCCGTGTGGAAAGCTCTGTGCTGTGTCCCAGACCCAGATGGATCCATCTGGGATTTGTGAGTAGCAGCGTGTGAGAGCTTCTCCATCACAGACACACAGCGGTGTGGGAGGGAGAATGAGGCTGGTGAGACACAAAGCCCAGATTCTCCTCCCCTTTCCTGCTGTGGTTGCAACTCCTGGAGGTTTCCAGAGGCTGAGGGAAAAGGGGACAATTGTACTGAAAAGTCTTAATCAGCTAAAAGAGGCCGAGGGTGGATCCTGCCGTGCTTGTGCAGAGATGCTGAAGGAATTCGTGCAGAGTTTGCTCAAATATGCAAACTCACCTCAGCCTGAGCTGTGTGTGACTGAGGCTGCTGGGACACACGGGAATGGGAGTGTGGAGTGGCTGGTTGCCCTTTGTGTGGTGCTCAGGGGGTGTGTGGGCTCAGGGCAGTGTTTCCAAGGGTGTTTCCCTTGGGCTGTGTGCAGCTCACAGCCAGGCCCTGCCTGTGTGGGCACAGCACATCTCGTGGTGTGCTCAGACTCTGACCGTGCTTGCTTTGCTTTTTTGTAGTGCTCCTAGAAGGCCTCTGGAGTCTGGTCTTGGCCCTGCTTCTGCCTTCTTTGTATCCTTGACCAGGTCAATGAGCCTTTCTGTGATGTAGTCTCAGCTTTTCCAGCACTGTCCCTCGGAGAATGATGCTGAGCTATGTCCCAAGGGACTCGGGATATGCTTAAATTCAGCCCAGAGCTGAAATGTGGAGGTCTGAGCAGACACTGATCACCTCTTTAGCAGTGCCACAGTGTCAGGTGACAAGACTGATGATCTCCTGAGGGGAGTTGCTGCATCCACAGCAGGTTTGTGTCTCTGGGTTGGCCCACCTTCCTCCCAACCTTCACACTGCAGCTGATCAACAGCACCAGCAGATGTTACAGCATTTATTGTCCCTCTCCTGGAATTAGGGGATTAGAAAAGCACTTGAGTTTTATTTGGATTCCTCCCTGGTTGTCAAGGAAAGCAGAAACACTCCAGTGCTGGGATTTTTAGTTCAGTTTCTGGAGGGCTCAGCAGTTTGAGGTATCACCCTGATGACTCTCAAGTAGCAGTGTTGGGTCCTGTCTGCCTGGCTCAGGCAAGGCCAGGCTCAGAATATTTGCTTTCATGAAACCATGGAATATTTTGGAGGAATCACCTGGATACACCTGCAGTACTT